AAAAAAAAAAAAAAAAGCTAGTTCCAGGACAGGCTCCAAAGCCACAAAGAAACCCTGTCTCAAAAAACCAAAAAAAAAAAAAAAAAGAAGCAGTGCTTCCCATTTTGCTGGATGGAGCCTGTACCATGGACCCTCTCCATAGTCCCAATAACCTGGTTACAGCAGACATACGCTCAGAAAAAGAAAGACTTGTCCTAGTGCAGGGTTCCAGTGCAAGTCAGCTCAACTTCCATGAAGACTGGCACCCACACCACACCTTCCCTATCTCCACCAAACTTCAGCAGGGCCTGACATACCATCCCGACCAGCAACCAGCTCAGGGTGGCATGCATGGAGGTCTGTAGGTCCAGAGAATCAGACATGGAAGCTTCAAGCGAATGGCCACATGACCGGAGTTGGTCCATTATGTTGCAAGCCCAGTAACACAAGTGGACTCTCACCACTGCAGGAGAAGCCATCCCGGTGCAGCTCATAGCCTTGGTTACAACGACACAGGAAGGTCCCGTAGGAGTTGAAGCAGCGTTGCTCACACGGGGCTCCCATGTCACACTCGTTCACATCTGGGGGTGCCAGAGAAAAGAGGAACGGTGAAAGCAGAGGCACTGCCCAGAGCCCCAAACTACTGGGCTCAGGAAAGAGATCCTGCCCCCATCTCACACCGCTCTACCCAGGATCCCAGAGCCTCACCCACACAAGAGCGGTTGTTAGGTCCCAACTGGAAACCAGGCTCACACTGGCAGCGGAAAGAGCCTGGCAGGTTCACACATCGGTGCTGGCAATAGCGGTATCGGCATTCATCTATGTCTGAGATGGAGGCGGGAGGGAAAGCAGGGCACGAGTCAGGTGGGGAAAACAGGACACCCATGCTCATGCCTATCTCAGCTCCCGCATGTAGCCTCCTGTGTCTAGTGACAAGAGGGTACCAGCAGCAGAGGACTGGGCTAAGGATGAGACATTATGTCGAGAACTAGGAAAGTCACTCTCTGAACTCACCCACACACTCGGGCCCAATTTTTCGGTAACCGTCAGGGCAGGTGCATTGGTAGGAGCCAGGCAGGTTATGACAGTCCTGGCTAGGGCGACAATCATGCAAAGCCTGGGCACACTCGTCCACATCTGTGGGAGACACCATTCAGCCCTTACCTGGAGTCCCACATGCTACTGACCATGTCAGACACCTCTGTTTGGGAGAAAGTGCCCTATACCAGACGTCATTCACACGGGCACATGGGTAGTTGGCCCCAAAACATGAACATGTGATACAGGTCCTCCCAATAGTACAAAAAAACAGTCCACCAGGAAAGGCACCCATCAGGTGAGCTTATAAAACAAGAAGTCGGGTCTGGTGGCACACACGTTTAATTCTAGCACTCGGGAGACAGAGGCAGGAGGATCCCTGTGAGTTCCAAGTTAGCCAGGGCTACAGAGTTCCAACCCAGCTAGAGCTACATAGTGAGACCCTGTCTTAAAAATAAATAAATAAACAAATAAATAAATAAGGCCTTGTCCATTTACACCCCTTAGCTGACTCTCCTAAGACCATCTCTCCTTCAAGGCCAGTGGTCCCCAAGGCTGAGTCCAGATCAAAAAGCCGGCTGAGGCTGGGAGGAGAGCTCTTGCATGTCTGCACAGGCAGTGAAGGAGCTGCTAGGGACTTCCTGGGCCAGCAGACCTGGGCCTGCAGCAGCTGAGGGCTTGGATCTTTCTCTAAGGAGTCAGAGGCCTCTCAGCAGAGAAACGAGCAGTTTGCAGTATTTAGTATGAAAAGTTACTTTAATGTTGTTAATTAGGTAATACTTTTGAGCTAGGAGCTCAGGTTGGCCTCAGGGCAGCTGAGGATGGCCTTGAACTTCTGATCTTCTTGCTTCTACCCCCCTAGTGGTGTGATTACAAGTGTGCACCACCACGCTTGTTTGATGTGCTGCTGGGGATCAAACCCAGAGACTCTGTCTCAAAAAGCAAAGTACACATAGCTGAGCAGAGGTGGCACACACCTTTAATACCAGCATTTAGCACCTGGGAGGCAGAGGCAGGGAGATCTGAGTTCTAGGCCAGTCTGATCTACAGAGTAAGTTCCAGAACAGCCAGAGCTACACAAGGAAACCTTTCTTGCAAAACAAAACAAAAATTACTAGGGAGGGCAGTAAAGAGGATTAAAACAAATTAAATATGAAATATGTCAGGAGGATGATACCATGAGCAAAACCTGTTACTTTGTATACTAAATACAAAATTAATTAAAATAAAAAGGCAGGTAAGAGGTGTGGAAGCTGAGG